AAACAGACTGTCTTGATGCTTGCCTCGTACTTGAGGAAAGATGTTAAAAAAATTATTTTTTCTTTCTTTCCCCCCCCCCCCCCGAAGTAAAATTAACCGTGACGAAATAATCATGTTGGTATAATTTTAAATGATGGAAAAAAGGAAATTTTTTGTGCGGGTACACGACGGCGAGCATAGCATGGCAATTAACTCCATGATAAATAAAAATAATGTGGGGGCTGCTAGAAAGAAAGAATATTTTTTTTTCATTAAGGTTTAATGTTCTCGATCGAATAAAGAAAGTCGGTTAGTATTTATTTTCAAGGCGGTAATAATAATAATAATAATAATGATTTCCCTAACACAAAAACAGGGAGCCCGTGAATTTTCTTTAGGTTTTATTTTTAGAAATTACGTCGTGAAATTTTTTTTTAAAAATTCGTTAGTCGTAAATTTTAATGATTATTAAATAATTTTTATTATTATTATTATTATTGAAAATATATATTATTTTAAACGATCGGTTGATATTTGAGAAAAGAAACCTGTTTATAATACCTGAAATTAAGAAAAAAAAAAAAAAAAAAGAAACGAGTCATTATCCGCGTTGCATTTATTTATAATTAAATACCCGAAAAAGTATCAAATTTAAAAAGAAAAGAATTTTTTTTTTTATTTTTCGGGGGGGCATGTCTTGTGTGCATTTATTAAACTTTCATTGCATTCGAGTTTAAAATCATGCAACGTGTGTATTAAATAAAAAAAAGAAACCTGAAAGATGGAGATGGTTTAAATTAAAAAAAAAAAAAGTTTTTGAAGTGTGCAAGGTTGTTTATTAAAAAAAAAAAAGTTTTCGGGTTTAATAATTTTTTATAACTCGTATATATCAAAAAAAAAAAAAAAGAAAAATTATTACAAGGGACGACGACGACGACGACGACGATGACTGGGACGAAAATTTGAATAGATTCGAACCTGAAATAGCAAAAAAAAAAAAAAAAAAAAAAAAAAAAATGGAAAGTGGATTTTCTAAAAAAAAAAATTTAGTTTAGTGTTCAAATTTAATTTATTGTTTTATTCGACCGGATTTTGTCGTGTCGCCTAACGCACGTTTATTATTAATAATAATGGATTTTATTTATACCTTAAAAAGAGAGAGAGAGAGAGAGAGAGAAAATGATTCTTATGGAATTTTTTTTTTTTTTAATAACAATTAATAATCGTCTGAGTATAAAAATTATCGATTACGTTATCCATTGATGATCCATTGAGCGCCATATTTAAATGCGTGTGAGTGAGTGAGAGGATGAGTGTGTAAAATTTTTTTAGTTTTTTAGTTTTTTAGTTGAATTATTCATTAAATTAAATTTTACTAATTTATTTAAATTTTCACCCAATTTTTTTACACATGGTTAAATTTTTTTTCTTTTCCCATGTGCCAACAAAACGCGATTGGCCAATCTTTGAAAAAAAAAAAATTTTTTTTTTATTTATTTGCGTTTCCAGTTGAAAGTTCATAAAGAAAATTTTTTTTATTTAAAAAAAAAAAAAAAAAAAAAAAAACTAATTAGCGTGTTTGGGGGGAGGGAGGAGGGAGGGGCGGGAAAACAATTGACCTCATTTTTATATAATAATAATAATAATAATTTTTTAAAAATATTCATTTCGGTTTATTAAACACATTTTTGAGCTTTTTTTTCTTCCATCATTTTTTATTATTCATATTTGAACTATTGACATTTGAAAAGGTTTTTTTTCTTTTTTTTTTTTATTGAAAATCGATCGGTTATTGATTGATTTTATTATTATTATTATTTACATTTTAAAGTAGTTTGAAATGAAATTAAGGTAAAAAAACGAAAAGAAAGAATCGATTCGTTTTTTTAATTTCGAAAATTAAAATTAAATTAATGTATAGAAAGAATCAAGTCGTATTTGGTAAGAAAAGAATTTTTTTTTTGTTCGTTGTTGTTGTTGCCGTCGTCGTCATCATCATCATCATCATCATCATCATCATCATCATCATCATCATCATCATCATCATCTGGCGTGTTTACGTATGTAACTCATCCGATTTTGTTAAATAAAAAAGCTTAAATCAGGCATAAAATAAATTTTTTTTCTCTCTCCTTTTCGTCGTCGTCGTTATATCGTGTGTTTGTGGGTGTTTGCCACTAGTTTTTGTTGGATTAATATTTTTTTTTTTTTTTTGTTTTTTGTCCCTTCCTCTATATGTGCCAGCCAAACATTTGTTAAATTTATATATTTATTATTATTATTATTTGACCTTCATCTTTTTGTTTTTTTTTTTTTTTTGGGTAGGTTTATAATCTAACATAAAACTTAGGATTATTATTAATGATTGGATTTTTTTAAATTTCATGTGTTTTTTTTTTTAAATATAGTTTCTAGTCCGAAATATTATTTTTCCGAAACGGGGCAGGAGGGCGGGGGGAGGGAAAAACAAATCTGATAATAAGTACATTGTGTTATTGTCTTGTATAAACGATGATGATAAGAATAAATGAAAAATTACAAAAAAAAAAAAAAAAATTTACTATTAAACCTGGATTTTGCTTTTTTGTTTGTTGTTGTTGTTGTTGTTGTTGACATAACAAAACATAACTTTTATTTTTTTTTTTGCCACGTGAAATTTTTATTTTTTAATTTGATTAACAAGAAAATTAAAAAAAAAAAATGGAAAACAAATGTCGACTCCATTATTATTATTATTTTTAAAACCGTCAATAATATTTTTTTTTTTTTAAAT